TACTTCTACTGCGACTACTACCACTACGATTGCTACTACTACGACTATCAGGATTGCTATTGCCACTAGCGCTACTATTACGGATACGACGGCTCTATTCTATTATATCGCCCATTAGCATTGATATTACAACTACGACGACGTTTTCACCTACGACGACGAAGACGACGGCGACGACGACTAGCACTACTACTGCGACTCGTAGGACTGCCGCTTTACTGCTGCTACTACTACTACTACTACTACTACTACAACTGCTACTGCTACTACTAATACTGCTATCCCTACTACTGCGACGACGACGACGACGACGACGACGACTACTACTACTACTACTACTACTACTACTACTACGGCTACTACTAGCATTACCACCACTACGGCTACTACTACGACTACGACTGCTACTACTACTTCCACGAGTACTACTACTACTACTACTACTATTACTACTACTTCTACTACTACTGCTACTACTTCTACGTGTACTACTGATACTATTACTACTAAAATTACACCTACATACTACTACTACTACTACTACTACTACTACTACTACTACTACTACTACTACTACTTCTACGACTACTACTACGATTACTACTACTACTACTACTACTACTACTACTACTACTACTACGACTGCTACTACTACTACGGCGGCTATTGCGACTACTACCCCTGCACCAGTACTATTGGTAAGTTTGTTACTACTGCTGCAACAACAACAACTACTACTACTACTACTGCGGCGACTACTACTACTACTACTACTACTACGACTACTACTACTACTACTACTACGACTACTACTACTAGTACTGCTACTACTACTACTACTCTTCCTATCACAACCGCTGCACTATTATTTTCACAAGTGCTGCTGCTATTACTTCCACCACTGCTACTGCTACTACTGCTACTATTACTACCACCAATACTACTACTACCACTACTACTACTACTTCTACTACTACTACTACTACTACTACTGCTACTACTACTACTCGTCCTACGACTGCTACTACTACTACAACAACTACTGCTACTGCTACTACTACTAGTTCCATTAGTACTTCTACTACTATACTTCGACTACTACACTTGTACTAGTACTAGTACTAGTTACTAGTATAGTACTTAGTACTGTACTAGTACTTAGTTAGTACTAGTACTAGTACCTAGTACTAGTTACTACTATACTACTACTACTACTTACTAACTACTACTACCACTACTTACTACTCCTGTAGTACTACTACGACTATACGACTACACGATTACACCTACGACCACGATACGACTTACGACGACTACTATACTACTACTTACTTAATTACTACTACTACTACTACTACTACTACTACTACTACGACTACGACTACTACTACTACTACTACTACTACTACTACTACTTCTACTACTTCTACTACTTCTACTACTTCTATTACTTCCACTACCATTACCACTACCACTACTACCGCTGCGCCATTGTTATTCAGATTGCTATTCGGTCAGCGGCTGCTTGATAGCCTGTGTCTGATTGTCTCGCACATGCAATAAGCGAGCGCCCGCGCTGCGATGATGACGATGACGGCGGCGGCGGTGATGATGGGGCGTGTCTTGAGGCACTGCTGCGGCCATCGCGTCTCGCAGCGCTAGCGACCGAACGTACGGTGACTGCGCTCATCTCTTATACGCCCCGCCCTGGTCAGCGTGAGTACCCATTTTTCGCCCTTGCACTGAAAGAGAGTGGGCCGCCCCTAGCAACCCATCTAGACCATTTGGGAGCGTTTCCTTCTCCAAACTAGACATGGAAGTGGTGGTGCGAGTGCGGCCCCCCCCAGCCAATCACCCCACCTTCCTTCCTCTGCCCGTCCATGGCACCTAGCAGCCCAATTTGAAAATTTGCGAGCGCTTCCTGCTACAAATAAATGCGCATTAAATTTGTGGTACGAGTGTGTGGGCACAGCCAATCACCCTCTTTTTTCTCAGCCCGCCCATGGCCCCTAAAAATTGCCAGCGTCAAACTACACATCATGGAAATTGTGGTACCAGTGCTGGGCCCCAGCCTATCGCCCCCTCGTCTTCCTCAGCCCGCCCACGGCCCTTCCCTAGCAACCCATTTAACTATAGAGAAATGTGCGGTATGAGTGCGTTGCCCCAGCCAATCACCGTCCCGTTTCCTCAGCTCGTCCACCGCCCTGGGAAAAAAAACATTGTTTGACGCAGCGCAGCAAAACGGCATGACGTAGACACTTTCGAACCGCGTTCAGCCGTGGCGGCAGGGAAACCACCGAAAGTCACGAACACACGCGTGTCTATGTGGCTGTAGTGCAGCTGTGCCCCTCTTCCTCCTCCTCAGCATCCGGGGTTTTCTCAGACCGCCAACCGACATTCAAAACCACTGAAGAAATCATCGCACAACCAAACAATCCAAACGCATACAGCCAATCTTTTCGAGGGTCCCAAAAACAGACAAGAACAGTTAGTTTGAACT